CATTTCTTTACGCGGGATATTTTGCCCTGGGGCCAGGCCCGCTGAATTACTTGAAGAAAGTTTTTGCCAATCCCTCTCCACAGGAGGACTGTAGATCAGGTCTCCCTGGGTTTCCCTGCTGGGGGAAGAGACCCCCCGGCCCCCATCCCTGAGGCCTCATGCAGCTGGCAGAAGCTGACAAGTGTGCAGGGTCCAAGGTATTCTAGAGGAGCTCAGCTGGCCCAGGCTGTGTCCCGAGACGTGGCCAACCATCCCTCAGGGGGCCAGTTCATCTGAAGCTGGGCCACCAAGCAGAGGATCCACTGTTACAAGGCTGACCATAAGTAACTGAGTCAGCCCCTGTTCCTGAAACATTTTATGGTCCCATAGACTCTTAGAGCCAAGCTGTGTCTCAAGGTCCTCTGCTCTGATCCCACACAGGAGCTCAAGGTTCTGACCAGGGGACTCCAGCCTCTGCTTGAACACTTCTGATGGTGGAGAGCTCACTACCGCACATTTTCAGGAGAGTTATGTTAGCCAAGTTCACACCTGCTTCCACGTAGAACCCACCCACTGACTATTGTTAAGTCTTCTCCTAGATGATCTCCAAGAAGTCCCTTTGCCACAGCGAGCCTCAGTCCCTTGCGTTTCAAAAGGGGAGGACCTAACCGAACAGGCAGAATGGGTGTGAGGGTCGGTGGGCCAGTGCTTGTGAGGCCTTCATCTGCATTATGTCTTGATGTTCACACCAGCCGTGTGACAGGGAGATTCCTCACGCTCATTTTGAAAATAAGAAAGCAGGGGAGCCTGGGTGGCTCAGTCCCTCAAGTGTCTGACTGTGGCTTAGGTCATGATCTCATGGTTTGGGAGTTCAAGCCCCATGTTGGGCTCTGTGCTAACAGTGCAGAGCCTGCTTCAGATTCTCTCTCTCCCTTGCTCTCTGCCCCTCCCCCACTCATGCTGTCTCTCAAAAATAAATAAATATTTAAGAAATAAATAAAAATAAGGAAGTTGAAGCTCAGAAGGGTGCACTGAGGGGTGTGGAGGCGGGCAGGGCTTCAAATCCAAGCACACCTGCCATAAACTCGGGGTTCTGTGGGGCTCCTCGCTTGCCTCTCAGGAATGTAAGAAACACACTGGGGACAAGGACACCCTCAGGCCTCCCAGTTCTGGACTCAAGGATCCCTAAATGGGCCCCCAAAGGCTTGAAATCTATCAGGTCCATCTCAAACTCCCTTCGTTAAGAGAAATGAAATGTTTTATCAACTTCTTCGACAGACAATCTGATTTCCTTCCCTGTCGCCACTTATCATTTCCTCCCAGCTACTATTGAGGTCACAGCTTCAGAGACCGTTAGATGTCTGTCACGTGGAGTATTATTGCCCCCATTTTTCACCCAAGAGAAGCGGACTGACGCTTGCTGCAATCGCGGGGACGGAGTCACAGCTGTCTGCGCAACCGCGTGTGAGGGGGCAGCGTGCCCACCTCCCACACCGTGGGGTGACGGAGCACGGGGCCGACTGACCCACTGGGCACCGCAGCGAGGCTGGGAAGCCAGGGAGAGCGACAGGAGGGAGGGGCGAGTCCTCAGGTGCGTCCATGCCCCCTGGTGCGCACAGCTGGCCGGCCGCCCTGCCCCCACCCACCTCTTTTGAGGCAACAGCACCTACCTCTCACCGGAGTTCTGCAGTCCTTCCTTCCTGCCGGTGTCCTTGGCTCCAACCAGGTCCTCTGCAAGCCTTTTCCCACAGTGAGATTTTTCTCAGCTGCCCATCTGATGTCACACCCCTGCTCCAAATCCTTCAGTGCCTTCCCACTGGTCCAGGATAAAGTCCAGACTCCCCGACGTGTGGCAACAAGGTCTGTTCCACCGGACTTCTGCCTGTGGGGGATCCCCGCCCATGACCGTGGCCCTGGTGTGCTCAGGTCCGGCAGTCAGGGGTCCTGTTCGCTTCCCCCAGGTGGTCAGGCTCCCTCTGCTGGAACCCTCCTTCCAGCTCACCAAGATGACAGATTAAAGACGGCCACATATTCTTGGATGCTTCTTCATCAGCAAGTGGAGGGGGAGATCTTTGTCCTCTTCCCCTGAAGCTGGGGAGCCTTTGTGACCACCTTGACCAGTGGGGCTCAGGGGAAGCGACACCTTGCCAGCTCGTGGCCCCCGGCCTTCAGAGACTGGCCCTTGCCAAGTCCTCTCTCGTGGAGCCCTGAGGTGCCTTGTAAGAAGACCAACTACTTTTCTAGAGAGACAAGACAGGACACATGGACAGTCCTTGAGACCATATAGAGAGGCCGGCTCCCTGCTGTCCCCACCAAGGCACTAAGCACGTAAGGGAAGCCCTCTCAGACTCACCAAACCTGACTAATTTCCAGCTGAGTGTTATCAAACGGCCTCAGGACCCCATGGAGAACAACCACCCAAACGAGCCTTCTCCAAACTCTTGACTCACAGAACGGGGAAACAGAGGAAAATGGTGGTTGTGTGAAGCCACTGAGGTGTTGGGGCAGTTCATCATGCAGTAACGGCCCAGACATTTTCTCTCCCTTCCTTTTGTTGACTAATCTGCATGTATCCTCTCGCTCAGATGTCCCTTCCTCGGGAAAGCTTTCTCTGATGATGAATCTGTTTTAGGTGCCTCTACTTTGGGTGGGTGTTCCCATAGAAACCCACCCCCATCAGAACACACAGAGTTGCTGGCTTCCCACTCCCCCTACCTTACGAGGCCCCAGGAGGCGAGGATCCCCTGCTTGCCTGCCTCAGCACTCTATCTCCAGCAGGGAGCCCAGTAGCTGCTCAATAAAGATTTCACGAGCGAGTTAATGAACAAATAAATGGAGTCACCTGAGATAGCTACGAAGTTCCTAATTAGTGGTGAGAGGTGAGCTACAGACAGAACCAATTTTTTTAATTTTTTTGAAATGTTTCTTCATTCATGTTTTTTTCCTTTTGGGGGGGGGAGGGGAGAGAGAGAGAGAAAGAGCATGAACAGACGAGGGAGGGGCAGAGAGAGAGGAGGAGAGAATCCCAAGCAGGCTCCTTGCTGTCAGCACAAAGCCCGACATAGGGCTCGAACTTACAAACCGTGAGATCATGACCTGAGCTGAAAGCAAGAGTTGGATGCTTAACCAACTGAGCCACCCAGGCACCCCAAACCAAACTTGTCAAGTAGTCCCAGCAAGCAGGGTTAAATGACTCTATCAAGACTGTGAAGGAAGTAATGTATAAATTATGTCCAGCCCCAGGCAGTTGGGTAGATAGATATTCCAACAAAAATATAATGAGCTACTATGTGGCCATTAAATGTCTCCATATGTGAAAAGCAATTGCTAACAATATTATGTGATAAGACAGTTGACAAGTCCCCACCCAGACCCTTGCACTCAGCTGAATCCCAGCATTCATTTGTTCAAGAAGCATTTATCAAGGGTCTCCTGTATATGGGACGCTCTGCCAGTCACTGGAGCTGTAAAACAGCAAAAAGCACAGGTTGTGGGACCATGAGAGCCCCGCACAGACTCGGCGCTGATCGGGGAAGGCTGTCTGTCCCCTTGCAAGCACCTGGCGGGAGGAAAGCGCGCCAGGGAGAAAAACCCCTTCTGCCCTTGCTCTGGAGTCGCCAAGGATTATATATTGCTCGTGGCTGTAATTATGAAATTAAAAGCAGCTGGGGAGTGGGGATAAAAAGGGAGGTATCCTCAGTGGTGGGGCAGGAGCAGATGCTTCTTAGGAGGGAGAGAAAGCCCCTGGGCAAAACCCAAGGCCTGCAGTGAGGGCGGAAAGCTGGGACCTGTTAACGAGGAAAAAATGAAAAGCTTGAGGCAAAACCCAGAGTTAAGGCTTAATTAAGAAAGCAGGCGTTTTAGGTTCACACAAATAAGCAAACAGAATCCCCTCAGCCCTTCCTGATCATCACCAAGTAATTGCTTTAAAGCTGTGGTTTGCTCTGCTTGGGCAATCCTTAAATACATGTGGATAAAAGTAAGGAAGGTAGAGTGAGTGGAGAGCAGGCTGCCTGTCCCTTGACGGCCGGGTCCTGGCTTGGCCCTCGCTGTGCGGGACCTGGACGCTGCCAGCCCGCGCGGGGCCTCTGTCTGCCTCCCCGCCCCGCACCGCCAGGGCACGGAGGGAATGAATAAAGGGATCCCGAGTCTTCTCTCGTTCTGGAAGTAGGCGGTGTGGTTTGATATAGGGGCACAAACTCTCGCTTTGAGAGCCCTTTGGGGTTCCCGTGGAATCTCCATCATGTACCACCCGCGTGATGTTAGGCACAGCAGGTTAGGACTTGGAATGGTGTGTCTTTTCACCCTAAAATTGGGGTTTTTACTGCCTGCCTCCGACTTCTGGGAGAATTATGGGAACAAGGTCCACAGCATCAGTGCCCAGGGACACCTTGTTACTGCACGGGACGGCTGATGTCTACCACGGGGTACTGCCCAAACCAACCACTACCAACGACGCTTGCTCAGAGGCAGAGTGGTGCCTTGCAGAAAGGGTGGGCATGGGACCGCCAGGTGTGGGTACTTGTGGTCCTGTGCGGAACTCTCTTCCTCCGAGCACTAAGCTTGTCTTAGGAGCAACCCCTTCTTCCTCTTCCGGCCCCGCTGTGGTGGAGCCTTCCTCTTGGATGCTGCCCCAGAGCCCCAACTTCAAGGTTGATTGTCCTGCTACCATCAGAGCCTTCAGGGTGCATCACAAGCACCTACCTCTTTGTCCCTCCACTGGCCCTCTCCTCCCAGGACAGGAAGCTCTGTGAAGACAAGGTCCAAATATGTTTCAACGGACACCGTCTGGCACTTTGTCACAACTCCATGACTGTTACTTAAATCAATTTTTGAGTCAATCCAACCCACCTCCAGGACCGCCACTGGCTAACTGTGTGATTTTATGCCAAGCAAACCACATATCCTTTCTAGGCTCACCTGTGAAATGGCCCCACCTGTCCCCAGTGCCCACGTATTGAATCACTATCAGGCACCATCAATTGTAGGATGCGTGTTGTCTTCTACACCACTGAGAAAGAAAGGATACTTCCAAATCACTTGGACCTGATGTTTTAAGTCTCTTAAAAGTTATTTTTTGTTGCTAGTTTAAATGCTCTTTTCTATTTAATTGGCAGGTATTTTATCACTCTTGGGCTTATGTATAAAGGGAAAATTATGAGTGGATCAAATGGGTGAAAGTATCCCTAAACCTTCTTCAGATTCAGAGTCACTTTGTGATTCAAAATCATCAGGTAGGTAATGTTTCAAACAGCACTGCCCTCCGTGTCATCAGGATTATAGGTGATGCAGCAGTTCTTAAAAGAATCCTTAAAAAGAACCGAGACATGTTTGCTGAATGTTCCTTCTGCCTTTGCGGTGATGCAGAGCTGGCCTCCTGTTGATGCCTGCTTTCAGAGTATTGCTAAATACCTCTGATTTGGCAATTCTGTCACCCTTTCTGCACAACCATTTGATTCCTGGGGACTCAAAAAAATGATCTCCGCTTCTAGGATTTTCTTCCCAGCCACTGACACCCATCCTGGGAGTTGTGATGCTGGTACGTGCAAAGGCAACACTGTATGTCACGATGCTACATGGCCAACAGCAGTGATAAGGTGACATCGGCTATAAGGCACAGCCCAATTTTGAGTTATTAATGAATGAAAAACACATACATCTTGAAACTGATGAATTATAGTACTTCGTGGGATTGATCTCACAATGAAAGCATGACCTTTCTGGAAAGCCTCTAGCATAGAGCCTTGCACATGGTGGGACTGAACACCATGTTCCTTTCTTCACTCTTTCCAGCCCAGAGATGTTTCCTGTGACTATGGGTCTCCTGACTACGATGAGGGGTTGATGGATGGGGAACTAGTTTTAATACACAGAATGAGCATCTGATGGGGGGTGGGGAAAATATGAGAGGCAATATGGGGCACGGTGTTTCTAAGCCTACATCTGTAGCAACCATATAATTTATCATCTAAACAAAGACACTTCTGAGAGTGGAAGAGGTCATTCGTGATAATTTCACTGAGACCATAAGCATAAACTGGGGCTGACCCAGAAGTGCTGGGATGTATAACAACCCACTATATCCCATCTTCCATCCAGAAAGGCAGGCGAAAATCAGATGCAAATTTCTCCGTGCTTGGGCTTTGGATGCCTTTGTCCAAAACCAGGAAGGCCGTGAGGTAATTGATGGGCATGCAAGTACTTTTGGCTCCCATCCCAAGAAGGCTTAACAATAAATTCCAAAACTGGTTAAAATCCGATGCTGCTGCGTTGTGGGAGAGGCTCCCCTTCCCCAACTGTTATTTATGGTGCAGAGAAAAGGCACCGCATTGATGATGGATCTGCTTTTATTGGATAAAAATGGGAGGAACAGTGAAAGATCATGGTGAGATATTGTGCAGAATTTCAGCAGGACACTTTAAAAACGTATATTAGAGAAAATGAATTTTTCACTGGCGAAAACGTATCCATTTACAGTCGGAGCATCCATATATTTATGAGTGTTTTTTAGCCCTTAAAATAGTAACCCAGGACAGAATAACAAAGAGTCTCTTAATAGCCCTAATTTATCAGGCTCGGCGGTTTAAGAAAAATAAATAAAAAGAAATAGAAATGAGAGAGAGAGAGAGAGAATTTGAAATACTGGAAATGGTACCACTCAAAGGGTGACACCATGTCTATCTTCTTAAGAGAATGAGTCTGGGCCTGAGCAAGCCAAGAGTGGCTTTAAAAGTACCCAAGGTCGGGTCCCCAGGGGGTGAGGAAAGGTGGGGACGAGGACAGTGGTTTGGCCATGTAACCCCATCTCTTTTTGAATGGGCACCTTTGCCCTTGCTTCTTTGAATGCATTTATTTGAGGACTCCAATCGCAATTTCTTACTAGTTTTCTCCATTCTCCTGCCTCTTTCCTTGTCTGATGTTTTCTCTGGACTGTGACCCATTTATATCTGCAACATTGCTTTGGATGCCACGATGCCACACAGTAGACAGAACACAGAAGTTGGGTTCAAATCTCATTTCTGAGACTTTCTGCTGCATGACCTGTGGCAAGTTACTGGACCTCTCTGAGTCTTGATTTACCCCTTCATGAAATGGGGTTGTCACAAAGCCACCAATCCCTTCTTTGCATAACTTTCATCATCACTAGAAACTGTTTCTTCACCCTGGACTGAAGTCTGTCCCCTGCCCCCAAAAAAGGTTCCCTCATCAATGAAAAACACGACTCACAGGGACGCCTGGGTGACTCAGTCGGCTAAACATTGGACTCTTGATTTCGGCTCAGGTCATGATCTCACATGAGATCAAGACCCACATCATGCAGTCAGCACAGAACCTGCTGGAGATTCTCTCCCTCTCTCTCTCTGTCTCTGTCTCTCTCTCTGCCTCTCCCCCACTCACACATGCATGCATTCTCACTCTCTCTCTCTCAAAATAAATAAACTTTAAAAACATGGCTCCTTGTGTTCAACTCTCTGTGACTTCAACCTAGGGAAAAACATTTGCAACATAAATGTTAGTTCCCTTAATATATAAACATTTCTAAGAAATTAATAATAAAAGCATAACCCAGGTAAAACAAAAGTAGAAATAACAGGAAAAGGACATGCGCAGGAAATTTGCCAAAAAAAAAAAAATTAAATAAAAATCATCCAAACTGGTAATTAAGGAAATAGACATCAAAACAATACCTGTGAATTTTTAAAAGGTCAAAAAGAATTATAATACTAAGTGTTGAAAAACAGTTGCTCAGGGAGCTGTGGAACTAGTGAAACTTTTCTAGGTGGCAGTTAGAAATATCTAGCAAAGGTATAAAATATCTGGAACCCTTTTGACTCTAAAATTTCAGGAAATTCATCTCAAGGACAAAAGTTTTTGGGTTTTTTTTTTTAAGTTTATTTATTTTGAGAGTGAGAGAGCACAAGCAGGGAAGGGGCAGAGAGAGAGGGAGAGACAGAATCCCAAGCAGGCTCCTCACTGCCAGCACAGCCCCAGGCAGGGCTCAAGCTCACAAACCATGAGATCCTGACCTGAGCCGAAACCAAGAGTCAGATGCCCCACCGACTGAGCCACCCAGGTGCCCCTCAAGGATAACAGTTTTTCAAGTGCACAGAGATTTATGTGTAGTGATATTTAGCACATTATTTAAATTATAGAAAATGTGAAAACATTCTACATTTCCAACAACAAAAGATGGGCTATGTAAAACTAAGATAAAGTGTAATTCTTTGCAAACATTTAAAATTATGCTTTGGAGAAAATTAAATAAGAGAAGATGTGCAGAAAACAATTACCAGAAGCAAATACACGGTGGTTATCTCTGGATGGTAGGATAAAGGATGATGGTTCTCTTTAAGTATTTCTGTATTTTGAAATTTTCATTTTGAAGGAAGGAGGAAAGAACAGAGTGGGAAGGAGGAAAGGGAGAGCAAGAGAAAGCTTTGTTTCTGCCATGTTCTCTATTGGATGTCAATCCGAATGTTAGAAATAGTCGGGAGAGAGGAGGCAGCATTGGATCACCGTCTTGCTGCTGACATGCTGTGTGAGTTTTTACTGTATCCTTAACCTCTCTCTGCACTGCCGCTTTCTTCCGTGTCAGATGAGGAAAAATGGCCAGGCTCGCTTATGCATCGGGTAGCTGCTGCGATGATCAGAAAGGACGCCAAGCGTGAAGGGGCTCATAAAATGGCCAAGTGCTGTACAAGTCCTGGATAGGGTAATTATTGCCTTCGTTAGTGCGATCATTCTCTCCTGCTCCATTATCCTTTGCTGGAGAGCTGCTTGTCGGGCTGTGAAGTGCACTCAGCATTTCCGCATTACACAAAGTGAAGTGCATGCGGCTGCCTGGACCTATTTCGACAGATCTGGCATCCAGAGATAACCAAGCAGACCCCAAAGGCCTCCGTAGCTGCCCGGTGGGAGTACATGTGGTTCTAAGAGGACCAACTTGGCACCGGGAGACCTAGACTGGAGTCCAACTTGTCCATTGTAAGCCACGCGAACTGAGACAACTCGCTCCACCTGCCTGAGTCCCAGTCACTCACCTGTGAAATGGAGACAGTAATACCAGTCCTAATTCTATCACGTGATCATCGGGAGGCTGCCTCCCAAGCATGTGTGTGATTCTCCATGACCACCAACGCATGCAAGTGGATGTAACACCGAGAGTGCTCTGTAATCTGGGCCATCGTGTGTCAAGTTCACACCCTACAGGACATAGTTCCTCTTGAAGTTAACAAGCAATACGTGAAACACAGGCTCTGTGAGCAAAGTTTGCAGAATCACTGGATTTTAAACAGTAATGACACTTATAATAGAACGGGTTTCTGCAAGACTTCTCAAAGGCTTTAATATGCTCTTGTCTGTGTGAATCTCCAAGAGCAGGTTAAATTTCCTAAAGACCTTTGACCATGGAATTCTGATTTTATGCAGCATCTAGCTTATGCTCCCTGACACAAACCTGGCAGAGGTTGACCTGAGACAAAATGAACTACAAAGGCCCCAGCTGGGTTCTAACCTTGTATCTTGGCTGCTTTTTACTCCTGAGTCCTTTCATCCCGACCCTAAGATGTAGCAGCATCTCAACTCTGGAAAGGAAATCTCTCTCTTACCCATTTATACACGTTAATGCCAACACAGCCTACCCTCTCACCCATCACCTTCTTATTAATTATTTGTTCTGGATTAACCAATCCATTGATTCCTCCATTCTTTCAACCACCCATCAATCCATGTCTGTCTGTATATTCATTCCCATTTAACAGACTGAAAATCAGAAACTCAGAAAGATGACATAATTTGTCTCAGATATGTAGCGTTTAGATTCAAATCTAAATATATGTGTTTCTGAGGTCGACTAGAAAGTACGGCAGCCCCCCAGCTCCCCACTACTCCCAGAGGCCCCACAGTCCAGAGAGTCAGGAAGCCCCATCAAGACTGACATCCAAGAGCACCAATGAGTCATGGAGTAGTAGAGAGGAATCTGGTGAGGGGAAGGGAGTTGGAATGGGTGAGAAATGGTCTTCATCATTCTGGTGTACTGGGGTAATAATCAGATTGTGGACTTGGGGGCCAATGACATTTCAGTTAGAATCCATGATCCAAGTTTACTAGCAATATACCCTCACTGAGCCTTGGCTTTCTTCTCAATAGAGTATGATGCTACCTGTCTTGTGGGAAGGCTACAAGAAGCCAATGAGCTAATGTGTATAAAGGCACTGAAGCTTTTGGCCAAGTACATGGTGAGTAGCACCTGGCCTCATTTTATACCCAGTTGATATGGCCTGGGTACCACTCATGGAGTCACCATTTACTGGATGCCTACCATATGTCAAGTGCAAAGGACAAGAGCAAGGACAAAACCCAGATTCATCCCTTGGAGGAGACCAGAGCCCATTTGACCTCCTTCACATCTCTGCTTTTCTGGGCAGGGAGGGTTTGGTACATCAAGAGACTTCTTTACAAGCTCTGCAACATCAGCTAAAATTTCCAAGTGTTTGTGTTTGATGAAAAGATTGTCAGAGGGAAGTTCATAAACCCCGA